TATATTTTACTGCACAGTTTTAAAGTTTGTTTCCTATTTGTGTGTGACCCCTCTTCTTTTTCCACCTAGCAGTATATCCAAGAAATTATTCCATATCAGTTGAGAGCTTCTCCCTCATACCTACCTCAAGACAATGTGATTTATGATAAGAAATATATATTCAATCTTTGTCCAGTTTCTGGCATGGATCTCCTAAAACCTTGGAATTTCCTAAGTGATTAGAGAGATAAAAGTGTCTTGACATTCATAACAAATCTCTTTCTTTTTTTATTTTTTATTTTTAAAGATTTTATGTATTCATGAGAGACACACACAGAGAGGCAGAGACACAGGCAGAGGGAGAAGCAGGCTCCACGCAGGGAGCCGAATGTGGGACTCTATCCCGGGTCTCCAGGATCAGGTCCTGGGCTGAAGGCAGGCACTAAACTGCTGAGCCACCCAGGGATCCCCAGCAAACCTCTTTCAACCACACCTGTGTTTATGTTAATGAGATAACTTTTGGAAAGCCAGTGGGATAGAGGCTGGTTGCCAGGAAAACCAACCATGTGATTAGATGGTTGGACTTTCAGTCTCACCCCCCGAACTTCAGAGAGAAGAGAGAGGTTGGACATAGGATCAGTTGCCAATGGCCAGTGATTTAATCAGTCGTGCTTAGATAATGAAGTCTCTGTAAAAACCCAAATGGATGAGGTTCAGAGAGCTTCCAGTTTGGTGATTGTGTGGAGATGTGAGTAGCTTGGTGGTTCAGTGAATGTGGCAGCTTATCTGAGCCATTTCCCCCATATTTTTCCCTTTGTATCTCTTCCACCTGTTTCTGAATAGTAAACCAGTAAATATAGTAAGTAAAATGTTTGGGTTGTTTTCACTGTCTTTTTTTTTTTAACTTATTTTTATTTATTTATGATAGACATAGAGAGAGGCAGAGACATAGGCAGAGGAGAGGGAGAAGCAGGCTCCATGCCAGGAGCCCGACGCGGGACTCGATCCTGGGACTCCAGAATCGCGCCCTGGGCCAAAGGCAGGCGCAAAACCGCTGAGCCACCCAGGGATCCCTTTTTTTTTTTTTTAAGGTTTTATTTATTTATGATAGAGAGAGAGAGAGAGAGACAGGCAGAGGGAGAAGCAGGCTCCATGCAGGGAGCCTGACGCGGGACTCGATCCCGGGACTCCAGGATCACGCCCTGGGCCAAAGGCAGGCGCTAAACCGCCGAGCCACCCAGGGATCCCCTGTTTTCACTTTCTAGTTATCATGAATAATGGTGGTATGAACATGTGTGTATGTTTTTTTGTAGACATAATGCTTCTATGGTTCTCTTGAGGAAACTAGGAGTGGAATTGCTGGATGTTATGGTAATTCTGTGTTTAGGATTTAAGGAAATTTCCAAACTTTTCTCAAGAGACTGTGCTATTTCGCAGACCCACCAGCAGTATTTGAGGGTTCCAGTTTCTCCAAATCCTCACCAGTATTTGTTATTTTCCTTTTTTTTTTTTTTTTAAAGATTTTATATATCTATTCATGAGTGACACAGAGAGAGAAGAGAGGCGGAGACACAAGCAGAGGGAGTAGCAGGCTCCATGCAGGAAGCCCGACTTGGGACTCGACTTGGGACTTGATCCCGGGTCTCCAGGATCACACCCTGGGCTGAAGGTGGCGAGGTGGTGCTAAACCACTGAGCCACCCGGGCTGCCCCTGAGCATCTTTTCAAATGCTTATTGGCCATTTATATATCTTCTTTAAAGAAATCTCTTTTCAGATACTTTCCTCATTTAAAAAATTGGTTTGTCTTTTATTATTGAATTGTCAGAGTTCTTTGTATATTCTAAATGCTGTAGGTCCCTTATCAGATATATGATTTGCAGAATTTTCTTTCTTTCTTTTTTTCTTTTTTTAAAGATTTTATTTATTCATGAAAGAGAGAGAGAGGCAGACACACACAGGCAGAGGGAGAAGCAGGCTCCCTGTAAGGAGCCCGATGTGGGATTCGATCCCGGATCCCGGGATCACACCCTGAGCTGAAGGCAGCTGCTCAACTGCTGAGCCACCTAGGTGTCCTTGTAAAATTTTTCTTATTCTGTGGGTTGTCTTTTCACTTTTTTGATGGTGTAATTGAAGCACAACAATAATTTTGATGATGTCCAATTTACCTTTTTTTTTCTTTTGTTCATTATGCTTTTGATGTCATTTTTTTTTAAGATTTTATTTTTTAAATAATCTCTACACTCCACATGGGGTTCAAACTCGCAACTGGGGGGTCAAGAGTTGCATGCTCCACCAACTAAGCCAGCCAGGTGCCCCTTGACTAGATAAGTATTATCAATGGCTACTAAAGTGTTGATTACTAGAGAGCAGAGTATTCACCCATTTCTAAGGTATTAAACCTTTTAGATACACACAAAAGTGAAAGAAGTTACTACCATATACTTGCCTCCTAGATTCAACATTTGCAACAATTTTGCTGTACTTTGTTTTTCTATTATTTTTCTAGGGCTGCCATATATAACAGAGTGGCTTAAACAATAGTTATTTATTGTCTTATAGTTCTAAAGATTAGGTGTCTGGGATCAAGATGTCTGTAGGGCCTTGTTCCCTCGGTCATGTTAGGGAAGGATCTGTTTCAGGCCTCTCCTAGTTTCTGGTAGTTGCTTATCTTTTACCAGTGTGACTCCATTCTTTATGTGTCCAAATTTCCCCTTTTTATGAGAACACCAATCCTATTTATTGAATTACAGGCTCATCCTAGTCCATTTGGCTTCATCTTAACTATTAACATCTGCAGTGACCCTATTCTTCAGTAAGGTACTAAGTGTTAGGAATTCAACATACGGATTTTGAGGGGGGAGGATGTAATTCAACCTATAACATTCTGTCTCTGCGTTCATACATATGTATATACATATTTTCAACTATTTGAGAGTAATTGCAGACGTCATGATACGTAATGCTTCAGCGTGCAATAGCAACATGCAGTAGCACATCTAAGAAAATTTGTTGTAATTCCCTATTATAATATCTGATCTACATTCGAATCGCTTTGGTAGCTGTTTTTTTTCAAACTGCAGGATTGAATTTTAACATTCCATTTGGTTGTTTCCTTAGTCTTGTTTATTTAGAGCAGTCATCTATGTTTTAATTTTTTATATGTACACTTTCAGTTTTTTATTTGTAAATTTTTTATGTATTTTTAAAAATATATTTTTTTAGTTACTAGGGAGAGTGCACAAGTTGGGGGAAGGGGCAGTGGGAGAGGGAGCAGCAGACTCCCTGTTGAGTTAGGGAGCCCAACACTAGGCTCCATCCCGGGTTGCTGGGATCATGACCTGAGCTGAAATAGAGTCTGACTTTTAACTGACAGAGCCACCCAGGTGCCCCCATACACTCTTTTTTTTTTTTTATTTTTTTATTTCATTTTTTTAATTTTTTTCCCCATACACTCTTTTAAAGACATGCTTGCAGGAGTATCTCAGTAGCAAATCAAGCCTCTATGCCAGTCTGATTGAGTAGTAGTTGAAATCACCATTTGCTTTCTCTGTCCAAGAGTGTTAATGAAGAAGACATATCTCTTGAGGGCTTTTACATTAATTGTCTCTGTTACAGTTATTTTGGCAAATGAGCTTCATCTCTTTGTGTATTTCAAGGATTGTTCTCCCCTCCTCAAAATGTTAATTTTTTATGTGCAACACATAGGCTGTACTTTAAGTTTAGACTATCTGGAACATATCCTTTCAATTTGGTGAAAATTCTCTTAGCTCATTCCCTGTAGTAATAGAAACAGAAAAATTAATGTTCTGTGAGCCAATACTTTGCTGATCCTCCCTATTGCATAGTTAATATTTTTTCCTTGTAATTAATAAGTATCTTAGAGGAGATACTTTGAAATTATGTAAATATACTGTTCTCAAGCTTTTGCACAGTAATTTTAGCATTCATTGGTGGAGCCTGTAGGTAACAAGTATTGTTGGGTGTTCCAATAGTGATTTTTTTTCTTTTTTTTTTAAGATTTTATTTATTTATTTATTCATGAGAGACAGAGAGGGAGGCAGAGACACAGGCAGAGGGAGAAGCAGGCTCCATGCAGGGAGCCCGACGTGGGACTTGATCCTGGGTCTCCAGGATCACATCCTGGGCTGAAGGCAGATGCTCAACTGCTGAGCCACCCAGGCGTCCCTTTTTTTTTTTTTTTTTTTTTAAGATTTTATTTATTCATGAGAGAGAGAGGCAGAGACACAGAGGGAAAAGCAGGCTCCATGCAGAGAGCCTGATGCGGGACTCTATCCCAGGACCCCAGGATCACACCCTGGGCCAAAGGCAGGCACTAAACCGCTGAGCCACCCAGGCTACTCTCTTAGTATATATTTTAATATAGATCTGTGACAATTTTTACATGTGCCAGGCTGTGTGCAAGGCTCGGGAATATAGAGATGAAAGACATTCAGTCTTGGGGGGCTGGTGGCTCAGTTGGTTAAGTGTCTGACTTTGGTTCACGTCCTGATCCCAGGGTCCTGGGATCCACCTGCTCTGACCTCCTCCTGCTCAGTGGGGAGCTTGTTTCTTTCTCTCCTTTTGCCCCTTCCTCATTACTTTAAATAAATAAAATCTTAAAAACATTCAGTCCTTGCTTATATGGAATTTGCATTTTAGATATATAGATATGTGGTTTTTTTTACTAGTGTGATGTTTCTAGGATTATACAGAGTATATTTTGAGCGTGCAAAGACTGCTGAATAGAGCACAATAAGTAAGCATAAATTAACAAAAATAATTGAAAACATCAGTATACGAATATACTAACAATGATTTTGAGAGTATTTGGGAAAGTTAGAGATTTCAAAAGAGTGTTTTAAAAAGAAAAATACTCCTACCTTGTTACGATAGTAATCCATCGCTGTTGTGGATAGCTTGGAAAAACTGAATGTATAAATAAGACAACCAAATTTTACTGTAACTCTCATGCTTTGTTACCTTTGTTTTATGTTTCTTCCCATTTTGGAGGAACTTTGTTTGCTTTATGGGACATTTTATGAATTTACATGTCATCATTATGCAGGGACCATGCTAATCTCTGTATTGGTCCACTTTTAGTATATGTACTGCTGAAGCAAGCACGATTTTTTGTCTTTTGCACAAAAGTATACAGTTCTTTTAAAGTAATTGTAGTTATTCACATTCTGATTTTTTTTTTTTAAGATTTATTTATTCATTCATGAGAGACAGAGAGAGAGAGGCAGACACACAAGCAGAGGAAGGTAGGGGCTCTGCAGGGAGCCCAATATGGGACTCGATCCCGGATCCCAGAATCACGCCCTGAGCTGAAGGCAGATGCTCAACCACTGAGCCACCCAGGTGTCCCTTCACAATCTGGTTTTTCCAGTTAAAATTGGATCATGTGCAGTTTGTTTAAAAAATATATATTTTTAAAGATTTTATTTATTTCTTCATGAGAGACACAGAACACAAGAGAGAGAGGCAGAGACACAGGCAGAGGGAGAAGCAGGCTCCTCCGTGCAGGGAGCCAGACGTGGGACTTGATCCCGGGTCTCCAGGATCACAACCTGGGCTGAAGGCAGCACTAAACCTCTGAGCCACCTGGGCTGCCCTGTTTAAAATATTTCAAAATTTTTAGTGATTATATGAAATTTCATGTTACAGATGTGCAGAAATTATTTTTCTCTGGTTGCTTATGCCTGTGTACTTGACTGAATTTTTGCAAAACAGAATTTTTTATTTGCTACATTGATCCCTATTAAATCATAGAATGTTTTTCCGAAATTATTTATAAAGAGATTTTATTTATTTATTTGAGATAGACAGTGAGCGAGTGAGTGGCACAAGCAGCAGGGAGGGGCAGAGGGAGAGGGAGAAACAGGCTCCTTGCTGAGCAGGGAGCCGGATATATGGCTTAATCCCAGGACCCCAGGATCATGATCTGAGAGCCAAAGGCAGAAGCTTAGCCAGCTGAGCCACCCAGCGCCCCTAGTGGTTCTTAATCTTCTTATTCCTTCGTTTTTGGAGATCAAAGTATCAAAAATTTCTCCAACATAGGCAAGGAAGTATCAGAGTCTTAGATAGAGTCCTAGTTAGCTTCTTTAGTTTCTTATTCTTTGTACTTTATTATTTTAATATTTTATTTATTTATTCATGAGAGACACAGAGATGCAGAGAGAGGCAGAGACACAGGCAGAGGGAGTAGCAGGCTCCATGCAGGGAGCCCCACGTGGGACTTGATCCCAGGCCTACAGGATCACGCCTTGGACTGAGGGCGGCGCTAAACCGCTGAGCCACCAGTGCTGCCCATGTTCTTTGTACTTACGTGATACTATATCTCCTACCCATCAAGGCTTAGGTGTTCTGTGGATACATTACGGATAGTATTAGAATAGTACAACTTTGCTGTTTATCTTTTTTTTCCCCAAAGATTTTATTTGAGAGAGAGAGACTGAGACTGAGCACAAGTAGGGGTAGTGGCAGGCTCCCCCTGAGCAGGGAGTCAGATGTGGGGCTCAGTTCCAGGACCCTGGGTTCATGACCTGACCAGAAGGCAGACACTTAACTGACTGAGCCAGCCAGGTGGCTCTTTGCTGTCTGTATATCTTGAACTTGCTTCTAAGATATGACTTGAGTTCTGCAGTTGAAAGAGATTAGGAGAATGAGACCATTCTTTCACTTTCTATCCCATCCAATTCTGTTTTTCCCATTGAATAGTAAGTGTTTCCAACTCCAGTTGATTCTTGTTACTCATGGCAGTTGCAGACCCTGAACTAGCAAATGCTAAATGGTTGTTCCTAGGGGAAACATACACAGATTCCTGTGAGCCTCTGGTGACATTTGCATAAAGCCAGTTGAGACATAATCTTCTGTGTGCTTCTTTTCAAAGATACCTTATTTAATGCATATTGTTGATCCATTATCATTGAATTCATGGCTGATAGCACTAGTGACAGCACACGTCTGAACCATACCTATCTAAGTGTATTTTCTCTATAAGGTACATCACCATTTATTTATTTATTTATTTATTTAATTTTAATTTTTTTTCTTTTAATTTTTATTTATTTATGATAGTCATACACAGAGAGAGAGGCAGAGACACCGGCAGAGGGAGAAGCAGGCTCCATGCACCGGGAGCCGGACGTGGGATTCGAGCCTGGGTCTCCAGGATCGCGCCCTGGGCCAAAGGCAGGTGCTAAACCGCTGTGCCACCCAGGGATCCCCATCACAACCTTTTAGAGCTTAGGAACACTAGACAACACTTCACAACACTTGGAGACCATTTTAAGCCATGAATTTTTTTTTTTTAAGATTTTATTTATTCATGAGAGACACATAGAGGCAGAGACATAGGGAGAAGGCAAAGTAGGCTCTCTCTGCAGGTGACTTGGTCACAGGACCCCAGGATCACCACCTGAGCCCAAAAGGTAGAGGGCTCAGCCACTAAGCCTGGTGTCCCAAGCCATGAATTTTTTTTTTTTAAAAGCACAAAAATGTGAATAACATGACACTTAGTAGATTACAAAAAGGACACTTGGGGCAGCCCCCGTGGTGCAGTGGTTTAGCGCCGCCTGCAGCCCAGGGCGTGACCCTGGAGACCCTGGATTGAGTCCCACATCAGGCTCTCTATATGATGCCTGCTTCTCCCTCTGCCTGTGTCTCTGCCTCTCTCTCTGTCTCTATGAATAAATAAAATCTTTAAAAAAAAAAAAGATACTTTATAGTACGAAAGCTGAAACAAGAAGTCAGAGCATTGCCTGGTTAGACCTTAGATGGGAACTTGAGCTCTGGGTCAGTTCAAGTTTTTCTTTACTCTTTGTTCTACAAATGATGCCAAAGATTTGGTGCTATAGAAAAATTTTGCCAAGTAGGCAAATTTGTAAATGGGGAATCTTTGAGGATCCACTCTAGTTTGACACAGGGAAACCATAAACCGTTTTTCCTATTAAGCTTTTATTTTGTTGTTGGTTATTGCAGGGATGTAAGTATGCTTTTTAGTTAAAAATCCAAACAGCTGGGGCAGCCCGGGTGGCTCAGTGGCTTAGTGCGACCTTCAGCCCAGGGCCTGATCCTGGAGACCTGGGATCCAGTCCCACATCCAGCTCCCTGCATGGAGCCTGTTTCTCCCTCTGCCTGTGTCTGCCTCTTTCTTTCTGTGTCTCTCATGAATAAATAAATAAAATCTTAAAAAAAAAATCCATACAGCTAAATTGTGTAGTGGATTTTTTACCCCTGATCCTAATGATACAGGAGGCAAATGACAAAGACCTAACTATACATTTGTATCCTTTTTTTTTTTTAAGATTTTATTCATTTATTCATGAGAGACCGAGAGAGAGAGAGAGAGAGAGAGAGAGAGAGAGAGAGAGGGCAGAAACACAGGCAGAGGGAGAAGCAGGCTTCATGCAGGGAGCCTGACGTGGGACTCAATCCCTATCTCCAGGATCAGGCCCTGGTTCGAAGGCGGCGCTAAATCGTTGAGCCACCCGGGCTGCAGAGTTGCCCTATACATTTATATCCTAAAGCAGTATGCACAAGACGTGAAGAGAATGTAAATGTACATAGAGGTGGGAGTAAAAGTGGTTAATGAAATGGAAAAAATAAGTATTTAAGCTTTTATTAATAATCAAGAAAACTAAAATGGAGCCGAGAAATTTTTTTCCCCCTAAGGCAGCAAAGATTCTTTTGACTTAAAGCTATATGCACAACAATAGTACAGTTTGAGTTTTAGTAGCTTATGTTTATTTTATTTTATTTTTATTTTTATTTTTATTTTTATTTATTTATGATAGACATAGAGAGAGAGAGCGAGGCAGAGACACAGGCAGAGGGAGAAGCAGGCTCCATGCTGGGAGCCCGACGTGGGACTCGATCCCGGGACTCCAGGATCGCGCCCTGGGCCAAAGGCAGGCACGAAACCTCTGAGCCACCCAGGCATCTCCTAGTAGGTTATGTTTTAAAACAATTCAAAAGTCCAGCAATGAGACATGTTTTATTTATTTATTTATTTATTTATTTATTTATTTATTTATTTATTTATTCATTCATTCATTCATTCATTCATTCATTCATTCATTTTACGAGACATGTTTTAAAGGTAAACTGGGCACCTAAGTGGCTCAGTCAGTTAAACGTCTGCCTTGGGCTCAGGTGTTAGGCTCCCTGCTCTGCTGGGAGTCTGCTTCTCCTCCTTCTGCCTGCTGCTGTCCCTGCTTATGCTTCCACTCTGTCAAATAAATAAAATAAATCTTAAAAAAAAAATAAGCAGTTTTTATTCATTAATATTTGTAAATACTGGGATCCCTGGGTGGCGCAACGGTTTAGCGCCTGCCTTTGGCCCAGGGCGCGATCCTGGAGACCCGGGATCGAATCCCACGTCGGGCTCCCGGTGCATGGAACCTGCTTCTCCCTCCCTCTGCCTATGTCTCTGCCTCTCTCTCTCTCTGTGTGACTATCATTAAAAAAAAAAAAAAATTTGTGAATACTCATAACAGCTTCATTAGAGATTTGTTTTCCTCTTCACTTTTTTTAGAAAAAGTTCTTAAGTAGACTCCACAACCAATGTGGGGCTCTTTCTCCTGATCCCAGGATCATGAGTCACATGCTCTACCAACTGGGCCAACCAGCCACCCCTTCCTCTTCAGTTTTAATGTGGAGTAGGAGGAGAGCCTTTTGCATGTAAAGGTAGAGGAAGCAGAGATCACTTCTGTACTGCTATCTATATTTTCCTGCCAGAAGTAAAAAGTAGATATGATTATCATATTTTCTTTTTCTTTTGAGTGTACACAATATGTAACAAGAGTAACTGACCTGAATTGTCAAACAAATTCAGGATAGTTCTTGTCCATTATCCTTGGCAAATACAGCACGGGGGACGTTGTCTGGGAATTGAGATGTCATCAAAGAAGTGGTGGAGGCTCATTTCATGATTAAGCAATAAGACATTTAAGTAAAATTTTTTTGAGAAAGTGAGAATGTGTGTGCGCAAACAGAGGGGCAAGGGTAGAGGGATAGAGAGAATCTCAAGCAGGCTTCACACTCAGTACAGAGCTCCATCCCACAACCCTAAGATCATGACCTGAGCCGAATCAAGAATAGGATGCTTAAGCAACTGAGCC